ATTTAAATGATAATTTGTTACTAATCAGTGACTTAAATCTGTTTTTTTTAATTTTTAATATTATGGTATTTATAATAATTTAATTATATATATATACATTGTATATATATATAATATTATTTATTAAAACAGTATACTGTACTGTATATAACACTATTTAATAATTAAATTATATAACAACATAATTTTAAAAAAATATTTATTACACTAACAAGTAAGCTATAATAAAATATGTTATTTAATTAATTTAAATTTATAATGTATTAATAAACAAACAAAAAAACAAATAAATTGCTAAAAATTTTTAAAGTTATAATTATTATTTATAATACATAATACATTCTTTACATAAATTTATAGCAATATATCAATAAATAATTATAATTTTTTACAGATATTTTTCTAGTAATATAAACAAAATATGTTAACTAAAAAATTAATTATTTAAAAATATTATTTAAAACACTCACTATTGTAAATGTAAACAATATAAATTGAGCTAAATAGTCATTAATATAAATAATTAAAAGTTTGTTAAATTATTAATTAAACAGTTTAATATTATTGTTGATATTATCATATTATTTTGATCATATTAATAAATTGACGGATTAAATATTAAGATTTTAAAAACATTAAATAGACATTTTATAAAATAAATTTATTAATTTTTATATATTTTTTTTTAAATCTATAAGATTATTAATAATAATAATAAAATGAAATAATTTTAGAAAATTTCTATATACTGTATAATTAATACTAATATATATATATATATATATTATTAAATTAGTTGCTGTTGTAAGCCATCACACGTAAGACATGGCGACTACTTTGCCATTCATTGATAGTATTATCCGATAAAAACTGTTTCCACGACATGTTGTTAGGGTTGTCGGACGACAAACCTATTGGACTAAAATGTGTCTGAAAAACAATATCCCAAAAGTCGTCCGAATTTAACAATTGGTCGTCAAATTGGTTTCGGTCCTCAAAATCGCATCGATAGTCGTCGACCAACATTGGCATAACATCTTTGAATATATAGTTTGAATAATGAAATATATTTTTTTTAAATAATTAAAAACAAAATAATAGTAATTAAATTGCAATAAAGTTTTTTTTAAACAATATATTAATTATGAACCTAAAAAAATCAAATCTTATTTTTTTTAAAATTATTAACTTTTGTTTGCTAAGATAATAATTTTTTTTAAAAATATTTTTAAAATATTTTTTTAAATACATTTTACTAACCGATAATTTTTTTACGATTTACAGCTAAACTATGAAGAAATAGTAGTTTAAATTGTTTAATACGAAATCCGTTATCAATTAAACACTGTTTCCATATATTCAACTGTTTATCAATCGATGGACATAACAGTTGTTGTCCGCCAACCTTACTATTGATTGACACGAGTTTATCGTTTAAATCTTCATTGATAACAATATTGGCATAAAATAGTCCTCCATTTGACAACAATCTGGCAATTATACCAAACAATTGTCGTTTATCTCGTATATAATGTAACATAAAATTAGAAACCATTAGATCGACTTTGGACTCCATTTGTCTGATTTGTTGGCTTAACTCAAGCCATGGGACAGACATGTCTTGCAATAGATAATCAATTGACAGATTATCGGCTATATTAGTAGCCATAGCGTAGTCTAACATTTCGGGTACGACATCGATGGCCACCACTGGTTGAATGTGCGGTACATGTTTGGCCAACATTCGGGTGGCCCGGCCGTCACCGAAACCCAAGTCAACAATTAGTTTATATGAACTAAAAATTTATTTTTAAAAAAAATAAAATAAAATTAATATATTTTAGTTTTTTTTTGATGATAAAATTTGAATACCTTTTTTCATTAGTAATCAATTGAAATGATTCAATGAAAAAATCATCCAAATTATAGGTTATTGTAACATAATCTTCGGGTTTTATTTTATACATATTTTTTTAAATATTAAAAATACTAAAATTTAATTATTAAATTAGATCTAATAAATTTGATGATGATTAGTTTTATAATTTTCAAAAAAAACACTTTTGATATTAACTATTATATATATTTTTGGATCTTTACTTAAATACTTTCGCAAATAATATATTTAATGATTTTACAAAAATTGATATTAATTTTTTTAAAACAAAACATTTGTCATGACTTAAAAAAAACAATAAAATAATAAATTTAAAAATTCACTTGTATAATTTAGCTAGGTTTTTTTAGAAAAAAATATTTATTTTAAATTTTGAAAATAAAATAATTTTAAAATTATTTTTTGAAATATTAAATTTCAATGAATAATTATTTCAAAAATTATATCTATATTTATTTTTATTGTTTCAAGTAATTTCGTTTGTAAAAAATCTATAATTTTATTATTACTTTTAAAAATACAATAATCTATTAATTTTATATTATAAATAGATTTTTTTTTATTAATTACAAATTTAATTAATTGCTTAATAACTAACTATGACTTATGAAAAAAATTATACTTCAATTACATTACAGTTACTAATCATATGAAAAACTTAATATTATAAAAATATTAGTTTTTGAAAAAAAAGAAAAATTTTTATTTTAAATATTGTAATATTTATATATCAATATTTTTTATTTGAATATATAAATTATTTATTATAAGTTTTCAAAAAGCTAGTTAGTAAAATTTTATTTATTAGTTATAATCTACCGGTATATAATTAAAAAAATTATTTATTTTTAAAATATTTATTTATCTAAATAAAACTTTAGAATTTAATAATATTAATTAAATAAAATAAAATAATAAATATGGATCTATTAGAAACATATTAATTGATTTTGATAAAATATCTTTAAAATTTAAAAATAGGATAATTATTTTTAAATTTTTTATTTGCTAAAGCTTAAAAATTATATTTAGGATCTGTAAGGTTTTTAAAAAAAATCTATTTTTATTGTGTTAATTGATTAGATTATATTAAAAGATTAAATTTTTGTTAAATAATTGTTAAATTATTATAAACATATGTAAGTAAAGGTAATGTAAATAATTATTAATAAAAATAAGTTTAAAAATAATTCAATTAAAATATCAAAACATTTAAATCACTTAATCAGTGTTTATGTCATATTTGTCATATAATATACAGTATTACTGATAACTTGTTAGTAATATGACGTAAAATAGCAATAGTTATAATTTTTTTTGTGGTTAATATTTTCAGTTAAAAAACAGTTTATTTAATTAATATTATATTGTTTAATATATTAACAAATAAACAACAAAAACAATGGTAACAAATAAATAAATTACTTAAAAATATTGAGTTTTTAAAAAAAATTAATTTATTATTTTAAAATATTTATAATTATTTAAAAATGATGATTTTGTTTTCAATTTATTAGTTTTTTAAATTACATAATGAATATATAATATTATATATATATATATATATATATATATATATATAGTTGATATAAATTTATAAAAAATTATCAAAATAAAATAAATATTTAAAATAAATAAATGTTTTCTAATATTATTATTATTATAAAAAAATTTTGATGTAAAAAAATTTAGTTAATTATTATTATTATTATTATTGCTTTTCATTTCCATATTTGTTAGGACCGATAGCCCGCGTCCGGAATACCGGCGCCTAAGCGATAGTCGCCGTTTCAATAATACGTTTTGCTCCCCGAGCTCGCCATACCGGTCCTCGTATTGACGGAGACTATTATTTTCGCGAACCAAACGGCGAATTTCGCGTTCATAGTCGTCGATCTCCCGGCGCTGACATAAAACATAACCGTCCAGTGATGTAGTAGTACTATCAGTAGTAGTAGTTGTTGTATTACTACTACTACTACTATCAGTGCTAATAGTATCGTATGAGTCCCACAATTGGCACAATTTATTTAAAACTTCTATTGAATTACTAGACATTTTAAAAAAAAAAATTTTATTTTATTATTAAACTTTATATAACTAAAGATTTTTATTTTTATTATTATATAAACATTTAAACAATAGCTTTATATACAATGATTTATCTATTATTTTATTTTTATTGTCATAAAATAAAAATTCTTAATAAAAATATATTTCACAGTTTATAATGTAATATAGTTTTTTTTTTAGTAAATATTTCATTGAAAAAAATTACATTAAATATAAATGTTATTACTATCATCAATGAAAATCTATCTTGTACCATTTATTGTATAATATTTATAATTTTTTTACCAAATAATTATGTAATAGCAATTTTTTTTTATATATTTTATTAATATTTTGCAATCAACTGAAATAATTTATTTGCAAACAAATTTGCCGACAGATTAAATGAAAAAAAAATCATAAAATTAATTATAATTATTAGTATTAATATTTTTAATTAATATAATACCGATATAATACTGTATATTAATGTATATAATATATTTAAATATTTTTAATAATTATTTAAATGTTGATGAAAATTTGCCAAAATAAATAAGCCAAAATTTTTGTCAACTCTCACTCACTCACTCACTCACTCACTCACTCACTCACTCACTCACTCACTCACTCACTCACTCACTCACTCACTCACTCACTCACTCACTCACTCACTCACTCACTCACTCACTCACTCACTCACTCACTCACTCACTCACTCACTCACTCACTCACTCACTCACTCACTCACTCACTCACTCACTCACTCACTCACTCACTCACTCACTCACTCACTCACTCACTCACTCACTCACTCATTCACTCTCTCTCTCTCTCTCTCTCTCTATATATATATATATATTCTCTCTCTTCTCTCTCTCTCTCTCTCTCTCTCTCTCTCTCTCTCTCTCTCTCTATTTAAAGTACATAAAATTTTAAATGCCATACAAAAAGTGATGATCAAAATTTAGTCTATTTATAACACACACACACAAACACACATAGATTTAATTATTATGTAGTGATTGTCAGTATATTTATAGCAAATAAAATGGTGTATTTTGTCAGTTAGTAAATAATAATAATAAAAATAATTTTAAAATTTAATTCAAAACTTGTGAAATATATTACTGTATTTATTTAACTTTTAATATAAAAAAAAAATTCTAACTATTAAGTGAAATATTGATAGTAATATATTTAATATATTTTTAAAAATATTTTTATCTGTTTATAAATATATATAAATTGCTTTATCATGAATTGATTGTATTGTAATATTACTACTAGTAGTAGTAGTAGTAGTATTAAAATAAATAATTTTTTTATATCACACATAACTATATTACAATATTTATTGATAAAAAAAATGTCTGCAATTTATTATCAAATATTTAATACATAATAAATTAATCAATAATAATAAACAAAAGAGAAATATTTATTTTTTTTTATTTAAAAAATTAAAAGTAATCGAAAAATATGTAAACAATTTTTTTTGTTTGAAAAAAATAGATAACAAAAAAATATCTAAAATTCTAAAGTAATAATAATAATAATTAATAAAAATATTATTTAAATATCATGTTTTTCAAAATAAAAAATTATTAGTTAAATAAATAAAAAAAATTTTTTTTAAAGTATTTCATAAAAATAATAATAATATGGACAGTGATAATAATAATAATAATAATAATAATAATAATAATAATAATAATAATAATAATAATAATAATAATAATAATAATAATAATAATAATAATAATAATAATAATAATAATAATAATAATAATAATAATAATAATAATAATAATAATAATAATAATAATACTATCAATAGTAATATAACATTGTTTGTTAAGGCCGGTGCCGATGGCCAACGTTACGGTGCCTGTCCTTTCTGTCATCGATTGTTTATGCTATTGTTGGTCAAAGCCAAGCACAGGCCTGAGCTCAGATTTCGTGTAGTTACCGTAAATCTGGCCAAACCACCCGAAATATTCCGGCAAAACACGCTAACACGTGTGCCGGCACTTATCGACTGTCAAGTAGTAGATGACTGTCATACCGATGCTGCCGGCGATACTGTAGCCGTCGATACTGTCGACGATATTATCGAACACTTGGATACCCGATATCCGACACCTGAGCTCATGTATGCCAACGAAGAAGTGGCGGACAGTGCGTGCAATCGTTTGTTTCAGAAATTTTGTTTCTATATCAAAGATATGGCTACCGGTGCCGATAGTACCGGCCTGACTGGTGAACTACATAAGCTTGACGACTATCTTGGGCAACAAAAACAAAACAACAGTAGCACTGCTGGTGGTGGTACATACCTGTGCGGTACGCGACTAACATCGCTGGACATTGAAATGTGGCCAAAATTACATCACATTCGTGTGGCGGCCGGTTATCTCAAAGATTATGTCATACCGGCCCGGTTTGCACACGTATGGAGCTATATGGGCGAGGGTTATAAGCAGCGGGCGTTTGTCGACTCCTGTCCCGCGGATCAGGAAATTATATTTCATTGGGCCGATCGACCCGAAACACCCAATCTGACTGCTGAACAAAATGCCCAGTTAGCCAAACAGGAGCCTCGCTATAGTATTGATATACCTAACTAATTACCTAAACTAATTATAACTAACGTAACTATAAAATATTATTTATTATATTATTAATTAAATTATTAATTAAATTATTAATTAATAATATTAAAATAAAAATATAAAAATAAATAATTAACATAATTTAATTTATTAGTTAACTTAATTATAAATTTTTGTTAATAACATTAATTAATATTATAATTATTTATATAATATATATTTACGTGTATATTAATAAAATTATTATTAATAGATTAATATTGTTATTATATATTATTATATATTATTATATATTATTATATATTATTATATATTATTATATATTATTATATATTATTATATATTATTATATATTTATATATTTAGTGCAAAATTTTATTATATAAAACTGTATACTGTTGTTATGATTTAAATTAATTATATGTTATTAATTTTGTAAATAAATTTAGTTTTAATTTTGATTGTTATTGATTGTTATATGAATTTTTTTAAATGTAAATTATATATTTAATTATTATAATATTTATTAACATATATATATATATTTTAAATTTAAGTCTATCATAAACAAATAATATACTATATGTGAAAACTAATTAACTAAATAATTTTTGAGTTATTTAATAAATAGTTAAATCACTTTACTCATAATAATAATAATATATTTAATTATTTATTATAAGTTTAAATACGAATAATTAGTATTAATTTTTAAAAAAATATGTATTTATATTACAAACTGTAAAAATTTTATTAGCATACATAAACTATAATATTATTGATATTAAATATAAGTTTAATATGAGATCTACTACTACATAACATATTATAATTTTATAAATATAATTTTTTTTATTAATTTATATACAAAATAAAAATAATCTAACTATTGTAAATAATTTTAATACAAATATTTTTTTTTTGATTTCTAAATATAAAATTAACTAGTTAATTAATATGAAATAGTATTTAATTAATTGAATAATTGTTTTGTAATAATATTAATAATTAATAATATTATGTTAATTAGTAGTAAATACCAACAAACAAAATAATTGCTAGTTTTAGTTGCCATAAGTTGATTGAAATATAATTTTTTATTTAAAAATTAAAGATAACATATAATTTCACACTAAATGTATGATAATTACATTTATAATATATACAGTAATTTTTTATTTCCTAAATAAAAATTAATTTTTTCCATTATATAATATAGATATCATTGAGTAAAATATTTATTAATTTATTATATATTAGATAATCAAGTTTTCTATTAACCAACAAAAAATCAAATAATTTTATTATTATTATTATTATTATTATTAATTACGTAACTTATATTACTTGGCGTTAAGATATTATTATTGGATACAGTATTAAGTAATTATATAATATAATAATAATACAATTGTATTCAATGTACTTATAAAATTGTTTTAGTTAGTTAATTGTAATAAAATATAGTTTAATTATTTTTTCTACACGTGTTTAAATAAAATTAATTATACTATACTGTATTAAATAAGTTTTTTTTATATATTAGCTTTTTAAATATACCACTACTATAATGGTATAACTTATATATATATATATATACTAATAATTGTAATATAAATTAATATATAATGTAATATATAATTAGTAAAACAAAATAATTAATATTAAAATTATTATTTTTAAAAATAAATCTTAAAACATTGTCTCGACTAATTACAATTGAAAAAGTAATAAAATAATAATTTTAGTTGAAATAAATAAATAAATAATATAAAAACAAACTATTTTATCATATTTAATTTGCAATACAGGAAACTACTTTTAATTAAACTATAATTATCATCAAGGTATATTGAAATTAACATTATATTTATTTATTTATAATTATATAATATTTATACATTTATTAATAGTTATAATCCTTATTGACAGAAATTAATTTAATTAATTAAAATATTAATATTTATTTATTTAGTAATACTGTATCTCTTTTTTTTGTTGTTGATGTGTCTGAGATAATGATCATACAGTTTACTACCTAACTGTCCAAAGTTCCCACACTAGTACAGGTATTACATGTCATCTACCGGTGCAAAATACGTCATATTATTATTAAGATATTTATATACATACCTAGTATTTTGAGTGACAAACAATTTTTTAAAGTGAATTAATTATTATTAGTATTATAATCATAATTATTATTTTTGTTTAGTAATAATACTGAATATTTCCAGTTAATTATGACCTTTAAATAAAACAGGGGATCACGCGATAAGTTTATTGAAATTTTAAAATTACTATTCAATTACTGTAATATATAATTATAATACTGTAATAATATACTAATAAATTAAAACTAAAATATTTATTTTGTTTAATATTGTTCTATAAATAGTATATTTATTTATAAATAATTAATAATTTTCACAACAAAACTATTTTAGACTTTTATGATATTTATTTTTATTTTATTTTAGATTATTATTATTATTATACTTCATTGAAATACTTATATGAAACCATTATAAAAGGGGTAATCATTAAAATGAAATAAAATAAATAATTTGCAATTTGTAAACAACTTTTATTGCTATTTATTTTTGTTGTAATTTTGTTTTGTTATTTATAACTTAATATTGTTTAGTTATTTTTTTTATTAACTATTTTATAAAATCATCAAAAAAAAACTAGAGTAGCCATAAAAAACATATTACTTAAAAATACTCTACGAATTGATATCTATTGTAAAATAATTAATAAATGCAATTAAATTAATAATAATAATAATATATCTTATTGAACAACACTATGAATTTTTTTAACAATATTAGTAATTATTACTTAAAAATTAATAAATTATAAACATATTCATGTAATTTATTTATTTACGAAACAAAATTCTATAAAAATTTACATAAAATAATTGAAAATATTTACAAAAATAAAAAATAAAACAATAATTGTGTTTTTATTAAAATTTTTATGTATTTTAGTAAAATTAAAATCATTATCATAAAATGGGTAGACATGTATACATGTATAATATGCATAATAAATATATGAGTTTTTTATGTCAAGGTTTTTTGTTGAAAGTTTTTTTTGATTTTGTTTTTTTTTTTGAAAAACAATACCCCATTTGGCAACATATGAAACATTATAATGTATTAGAAATAATAATAATAATAATTAAAAAAAAGACATTATTTTATAAGTCAAATATCTAATCACACAAAATAATAGTCATAGATATGTATAATAAAAAATTTATTTATTTATTGCTTTTTTATTTTTTTTAAGAAAAAGATGAATATATTGTATATTAGTCAACAAAATTATTTTGAATTATTATTATTATTATTTATTAACCTTAGTTTTAGTTTGTCGTTTAGTTACCACTAGTTTTTTACTACTACTACTACCACCAGTACTACTACTACTACTACTACTACTACTACTACTACTACTAAATGATTGGTTAGATATTAAAACATAATTTAATATTTAATTGTTATACAGTATATATATATATATATAACTTTTTCAACAATTTGCTCATTCATTCAAATGATATGAAATCAGTCGACAAACTTAAAGTACAATTCATTATATATTCAGTATATATAATACAATAAATACCATAAAATAAAGTTTTTTAGTGAAAGTGTAGTTTAATAAACACATATACAGTATATAATACTGTATTTTTTAATATATTTAATATTAATATTAATTTTTTTTGTTTTCATATACAGTGTATCTATCAATTGAATTAATTGAGTTGAATGTGTGATAATCAATAATAATAATAACTTATTTAATAACTTATTATTATTTTTTTACAAAATCATTGATATTGTGAAATGATTTTTTGTTTTTTTTGTCGGTGTAATAGTTTTTAAACTAAAATAAAAACACATTTTTGTTTATTAGTATTATTGTTTTTGCAATAAAAACTATATACAAAAAAAATAGTTTACTATAAATTGTTGATCACTACTGTATTATAACTACAATAGTATATCAGTAAATAACATATCAAACAACAATAGTTAATATTTTTTATTAAAATATTTCTATTTTATTAAAATTTTTGACTAAAACTATTACAACAATATTAAAATTATATATTTAAAAATATATATATATAATATTTATTATGTTAAATTGTAAATTATATTCTAATAGTTAATAATTAACTTAAAATTTAGCAAAATTTTTATTAAAAAAATATATATATATATTTATATATAATTTATATAACATCACCACAACATTATCATCATCATCATCAGCACCTATACCCAGATTATTGAACCAATACTACTAATACAATGGCTGACATCAATGATAGGACCGGCGATTTTGTGGTATATAAGCGAAACGAAATTATCAAATATCAGCGACAAATTGAACACTTGATCCGTGAAAATGATAGACTAAAACAAATGAAAACCAAATACCAGGACTTGGAGTTTGAAAACTTGGCGCTCAAACATCGGTTGGCCAGTAATGGTGGATCGGCTGCGGGTGGAAAGGCAGGAGCCGTAGGTATCGGCGCCAATGATAATCAAAACTGGCGTAACTGTGGCTCCGATTACGGTCTGATTGTTGAGTTTATGCAAAATCAGTCGACACCCGACAGACACCGATTGATTGTCGACCCAACACCCAGACATAGTAGTTCCGTAACCAATAACTACCAGTCCTCTACTGATGGCAACGTAGTACCGGAGCCCGGGATTATTGATGGCAGTATTAATGGTAAAACTATTTTTTTAAAATTTATTTTTATTATTTTTTATTATATTTTTTGATATTAAACTATAATTAACTAGATATAAAAATTACAATAATTTTTTAATTATTTAAAAAATGTATAAAAATTATAATTAGTTTTTTTATGTTTTATTTAGTTATAAAGATATAGTAAAAGTATATAGTATTATAAAAATTATAAATTTATTTGATATTTGAAAAATTTAATATAATTATTATCAGTAATTAAAACAAATGTTTAACATTAGTAAAACATTAGTAATAATTATGTTAAACATATATATATATATAATAAAAATAATTAAAATGATAAATATAAAATAAATACGGTATATAAAATATATTTATTTAATAATGTATAATACATTTTTAATATCAGCTAATATAATAGTATTTTAATAATAATAATAATAATAATTATTATTATTATTATTTTATTTTATATTGAATATTGTTTACCTGCTAAATGTTTTTATAAAATAATATTTATCAAACTTATAGTTATACAGCTAAATTAATTATTTACAGTTTTTATATTTCAAACAAAAACTATAATACATAACAACAATTATAAATATATTTATAATATTACTATTACTTTACCGTATACTGTATTTTATTATTTTTAAAAATTTTATTTAGTTTTTAATAATTTTCTAGAAACTATAAGTCATTTATCTAATAAATATAATATTAATAAATAATAATATAATTTTCAAATATTTTAGTGACAATACAATCAAATAGATTTTAAATGTTTTTTTTTTAAATATGTGAAACATATAATAGTTTTTTTATAATATTAGATATTGTTTTAAATAAAAAAATTAATAACAGAAACATAAATATATATTATTTTTTTCAAATAAGATAACTAATCATTAATTTAGTTTTATTGTTCAAAAATATTTTTGCCAATTAATCAGATTTTTAGTAAAATATTTTTCAAATTAAATATGTAAACAAAAAATTAATAAATGCTATTAAATAATAAAACAATTATCATAAAGGTATTTCATTGATGATTTTTTTTGGTGTTATCACTAAAATATTTACCTCAAAATACAAACGTTTTTTTTTTTGATAATATTGATAAATGTTTTTTTTTAAATAAGGATACTCAGTACACAATAAAATATTTAATCAAAAAAAATTATTATTTTTACATAACAATAATCATATAAAATTATTAGGCTAAAAACATAAGTTATTTATTTAGTTTAATAACTTTAAAAACAATATAATAATAAAATTAAAAAAAAACAAAACATTACATTTCATAGATAGTTATAATAATTAACTAATAAATAGTTTTTATTATTATTAATATATTATGAATATTTTGTTGTTTATTTGTTAATTATATTTAATTATATTATGTAATAATTATAATTTAAATATATGACGAATAATCAAATAAACAAAATAACATTTAATTTTAATAATAGATAAATAATATTAAAAATAGATAAATAATATTAAAAAACAGATAAATAATATTTAATAATAGATAAATAATATTAAAAATAGATAAATATTAAAAAATAGATAAATAATATTAAAAATAGATAAATAATATTAAAAAATAGATAAATAATATTAAAAATAGATAAATAATATTAAAAAATAGATAAATAATATTAAAAATAGATAAATAATATTAAAAAATAGATAAATAATATTAAAAGATAGATAAATAATATTTAAAAATAATTTAATAATTTTAATCTAATAATAATTATATATATTATATAATAGAGTCGACTAACGATCATCTAATCATTGGTTACGGTAGAGGATTGCGTCGACAGTCGATATTTCCCGTATCGAAAGCGGGCGATAAACAGCTACAGGAGCTGACCGACGACCAGAAACATTCAAAACAATTGGGCGAAACCCGAACCAAACAATTGGACTCACATTTCTGGTCAATCAAATCGGATACGTCGGCTGCGAATCATTATCCGGAAGGGTTGGCTCAGTTGGCCAAAGATATCAGGAATAAGGCTAACCATAATGTAATGCATCGGATAATTGTCAGGGAATGGAACCGACGGCCGGAACGGATGTCGCGGACAGAGTTTTTCTATCATTTGCTAACCGTATTCATACATAACGGCTGTTTGGTTACCCAGTGTACGGAACATTCGCCACCGTGTCGGCCGAAAGTGGACAGTCGTATACTGGAATCGTCGGCACCGGTATTGAAAAGTTTTCTCCAGTGTGTAAACAGTTTGAAATTGGTTGTCGTCGAAGTTGAACTGCTGGTAGCCCTGGAAAACCTGGCCTACGCTGAACCTAAATACCGGTGCGCTGTCGCCGAGATTATGGACCTATTGTTTCGCAAAGGTGTTGTCCAAGCGATAGCATTTGGCGAGTGGTCTCAGGCGGACAGTCCACGCAAATCCGATAAAGAGTTGCTAATCAAAGAGATACAGTCGACAGGGTTTACACTAATTAGACGATCATCTGTTTAATATAGTATTATATATATATATATAATAGTTTTTTTTCGTTGAAATTTTTAATTTGAAAATAATTTAATCACTTTTTTTTGAAAATAAAATTTATAATAATTCACTAAACATATGCAAATGTAATATTTATTTATTTTTTTAAATTATATAATTAGTAATATATTATAATAAAATAGTTTTCAAAAAAATTTATATTAAAATGTATTAAATATAATACATAATTTTTTTTTATAAATTAGTAAAATAGCTTTTCAATTGTAAAACAATTACTTTTATTTTTTTAACAAATAATTATCAAAGATATAGAGAGGTTTACCACTAATTAAATCTGTTTAATAATCAATATTATTATTATTTTTTTTTGTTAAGTTAATCTAAAATTATAATTATAACAATAATTTACTTCCATGTAATCATTTATAATAATATATATATATATAATTTTTTAAATAATAATTATTAATATATATTCATAATTTAAATAGTAAATAACATTTTTGTTGTTGATTTTTGAGTTATTTAAAACTTAATTGCAGATTATTTCAAATAATAATAATTATAAAAAGTTTTCAAAACATGATACGTATTTTATTTTAAGCTATTTTATCAAATATATTATAATTATAATACATTCATTACAAAATTGCACTATTAATAATAATAATAATAATAATAATAATTGTTATTATTTTATATTAGTTTATATCCTGTAATCCTATCTATATTAAATAATATATTTTTTTTTGAATATTATTAAATGTTTTTATTATTTTTGGTTAAATTAAAATTGATTAATTAAAAAAAAAGTTAAACGTTGTTTTATACATAATGTAAACGTTATTATAAAATATTTTCAGTAAACAACAAAAATTATTTATATATTTTAAATATTTTATTTGTAAATAAATATTTAAATTAAAAATAATAGTTTATATATATATATATATAATGATAACTAGTTATAGATAATAATAACAAATATGGAAATAATACTTATATGGAAAATAATAGTAAAATATCGATTGAAAAAACATCATCAAGGTAAAACAATTTTTTTCTAAAAATTTATCATTACTGTAAAATTAGTAAAAATATTAGTTAATTTTAATACAAACTATTTTTATATAGTAATAGTAATAATTTAAATATTTTTTTTATTAATTTATTAAATTAAAATTAATTTCAAAACTAGACTTATTTTTTATATTTTACTAATATAAATATATGATTTTTTAAAAAAAAAATTATTATTAGTAGTAACAATATCAGCACCGTTACCATCGATAGAAATACTGTTTAAAAAATTTATTGAAAACAACAACATCAACAACGGGATATTAAATGACAGCACCGGCACTATTGACATACATAAGCCCAACAACAACAACGATATATCAATTGACCAACTGTTGATCATCAATGAAAATAAACGACAAATACGACAATTAAATAGTAGGAATCGGGAACTGGATTTTGAGATCCAGGAGCTGAAAAACAAGTTGGCTAAAACCACGGGAGGTGCCGGTGCTCTGTATGATGATATGAATAAATTAGTTGATAGTAAACGTTATGCCAATCATAATCGGTTCGGTAGTTGCTATGATGGCCAGATGCTAACAATGTTCATTGAAAGTCAATTGAAACCATCGCCATTGACAACCATAGTGGCCAATCTAGCCAACTATACGAGTAGTAGTGACCAGGGGTCGACTTACGTGATGGACAACGGGAGTAGTTATTTAAATCATCATCAGTGCAATCGTGATGATGATGACTACCTACAGGAGCCGCCGATTGACGACTCATTAATAAATAGTGAGATATTTAATAGGAATAATAGAGACAACAAACCAAACCTACCGGAGCTTACGGACGAACAGCTGAAACAATTGGTCAACAATTACTGGTCAATCAATTCAGCGGACACTTATTGACAGACGATTATTGTACAGAAGGTTTGGATCAATTGGCCGAAAATATTCGCAATAATAATAATACCGATCATAAGCTAATGCAACGGATAATTGTCAGGGAATGGAACCGACGGCCAAAACGGATGTCGCGGACAGAGTTTTTCTATCATTTGTTAACCGTATTCATACGTAACGGCTGTTTGGTTACACACTGTTGGAAACATTCGCCTCCGTGTCGGCCGAAAGTGGACAGTCGTATACTGGAATCGTCGGCACCGGTATTGAAAAGTTTTCACCAGTGTTTGAACAGCAGTTTGAACAGCAATGTTGTCGTCGAAGTGGAACTGCTGGTAGCCCTGGAAAACCTGGTCTACGCCCAGTCTCTATACCGGTGCGCTGTTTCCGAGATTATGGACCTATTGTTTCGTAAAGGTGTTGTCGGATCGATTGCATTTGGCCAGTGGTCTCAAGCGGACAGTCCACGCAAATCCGATAAAGTGTTACTAATCAAAGAGATACAGTCGACAGGGTTTACACTAATTAGACGATCAACTGTTTAATAGATAATATTTTTTTTAAAGTTAAAATTTTAATCTAAAACTATAAATTAATTGTAAAATTATTGTTAAATATGTTATTAATAACATTATATATAAGTTTATGAATAAATAAATATTTTAATATTTTATATTTTATACAAAAAAAAATAGATTAATTGTCAAAAAAAATCAATTGATATTATTTAATATTTAATTGAAATACTTGAGCTAAAAAATAATAATAAAATATAAACTTTAACTATAATATAGTTTAACAAACAATTTTTTATGTCTATATATTTTTTAAAATATAATTACAAAACAATATACGTAATTAAATGATTTTATAAATTATTTTTAGTAAAACCAGATATTTCTTAATATAATAAAATTATGGAATAATTTCTAAAAAATAAACAAATTTTATTAAATTTTTTATGTCTATATTTTTTAAAAAATCTAATCACAAAACAATATACGTAATTAAATGATTTTCTAAAATTTTTAGTAAAACCAGTAATTTCTTAATATAATAAAATTAAAAAATAAAATATTATATTATTAAAAGTTATAGTTTTTAAAAGTTATTTAATGAAATAAACAGTTTTTATCAGTAATTTTCTATATTATTCTTTCAAAACACATTTTTTATGGAAATCTTTTTTAGGAATATTTAAAAGTTAAGAAATTTTTGTTAAAATAATAAATAATTCTGAAAAAATGTATTTTTAAATTAATAGTAATCTTATTCTATAATACAAAAAAGTATAAAAATAAATGTATTTTATGTCAATTCTGTATAACTAATTAATTTGCAAACAAAACGTAAAAATTAATAATAATTATAATAATGTCGTCATATATTTCTATACTTGTTATCTGTCTATCAATTATTAGTTTAATACATGGAGAAAGTTAGCGAATTTTGAAAAATTAATAATATAAATATATTTTTACTAATAATTTTATTATTATAATTTTTACTATTATTATCACTTTTACTATTATTATTACTATTATTATCACTTTTACTATTATTATTACTATTATTATAATAATTATAATTTAAATATTTTTCCTATTAATTATTATTAATTATTATTATTTTAATTATTACTATTATTATAATTATAATTATTACTATTATTATTAATATAATTATAATAATAATTATTATAATTATCATCTATAGGTTGTCCATCTAATCCGATTGTCATCCGACCTGATCTCCAGTAACTACGTAAAGAATATTTAGATCGAAGTGAAACTATCGATCAAAATCACAATAGATTTGTCAAATTCGATCAAATTATTTAAAAAACAATTCAATAGTCAATTAGATTACTATAAACAACAAAAATTAGTTAGTGTTGTGTTTTTATCGAATATATTATCGACTAGACTCAGAAATGTTATTAAAAATGCAAATTTTCGAATAATAAAATCAAGTAATAAAAACAAAGTTGAGCATCTGCAGTCATTGTATTTAGATTTATTGCCGGCTTTCGATTATTTAATTAAATTTGAAGAAAACAAATTGAAATTAATGAATGAATGTGGAGATCAATTGATTGATAACATGGATGGCAGTGATGATGAAGATTTAAAAACATTGATGAAACGCGCGGACGAATCGCGTGCCAAACTTGTAGATACATTGGATAAGCGATCAAATGATGATAAGATACCTATGTTTTGGATTGAATCGTATAAAATGGTAAAATAAAGATTTTAATATTATTATTATTATTATTATTATTAGTTAATAATAATAATAATAATACTGTTTATTTTAATATATATTTTTTTAATTTTTTCAAAAATTAATTTTTAGGGCTTAAAGGATCTTGAATCAGATTTTGATAAAATTAATAAGTATATAAAGTTACAATTAAAGTTCAAAAATGATTCAATTAAAAAGCGTACCTATAAATGGTATAACTTTGAATTGAAACATTATTGTCAAATTATTTTTTGTTAAAATTATTAGTTAAAATTCAATTTTAACTAAGATTTTTCTATAATTTGTTAATTTTTAAATTATTTGTTAATTATTAATTTTGTTAATATCTTAATTATATTTTTTTTTGTACTATTGATTGACTAAATTGCTTTTTATTAATAAATGATTTTAATTATTTATTTTTAATTTTATTGTTTTAATGTAATTATAATTGTTTTTGTTGTGTACTTTTACCAGTACTACACATAATAATCATTACTTATGTTTTCATTACTATTATAACTTGATTTTTGAAATTGGTTGTCGTCGAAGTGGAACTGCTGGTAGCCCTGGAAAACCTGGTCTACGCTCAGTCTCTATACCGGTGCGCTGTTTCCGAGATTATGGACCTATTGTTTCGTAAAGGTGTTGTCGGATCGATTGCATTTGGCCAGTGGTCTCAAGCGGACAGTCCACGCAAATCCGATAAAGAGTTACTAATCAAAAATTATAAATTAATTGTAAAATACTGTATATGTTATCAATAACTTTATATATAAATAAATAATTTATTCAAAAATATAGATTAATTGTCAAAAAAAAAAA